GAGACTCCCACTTCCCGGCCTTCTGAAGTCTGCAAGCCTCCGCCGCCCCACCTCCTCCTTTTCTCATCAAAGCGTGCTTGCCTACTGCCTCTGCCGCCACCAGTGCCTAGGCCCCGAGCAAGCGCCGCGCTCAACAGCATCCCTCCCGGGCCTAGGGCGCCAAACATGCTCAATCTAATAAACATGCTTAAATCTAATAACTCTAACGGCATTTTCCTCATGGGTCTCTCCAAGGTGAAGTGATCCTAGCCTGCGTGACTCCCTTACTGACCAGATAATCACTCTCGATAATGTCAGTATTATACCCAGTAACACTGTGAGGAATCTTGGAGTAATTTTCGACGAAGAACTCTCCTTCAAGGCTTACATAAGCCAAGCAACTAAAAGCGATTTTCCGTAAGCGATGTTCCACTTAAGGAACATCGCTAAAATCAGGAATTTCCTTCCTAAAAGTGACGCGGAAAAACGTATTCACGCTTTTGTCACCTCAAGACTTGAGTACTGTAACGCTTTATTGGCAGCATGCCCTAAAACCTCTTTGAAGAGCTTCCAGCTCGTTCAGATTACAGCAGCAAGCATCTTAACAGGTACCAAAAGGAGGGAGCACATAACTCCGGTGTTAAAATCACTCCACTTGCTCCGTGTGATCTGTAGAGACAGCATTCATTATTTTCGTTTTATTTATCATTATTGTTCGGTTTTCGATTTCTTTTTTAGACATATACTGTATATTCATACATTCATACATATACACAAACATTCAAATACATTAACACCTACATTAACACCCACACTTACACATTAGCACCTACATATTTCCATGACAATACTCGCTTGTTCTTACGTGCTTTATTTTATTTGTATTAAGTATTTTTGTTTTCTTTGTTCATTGCTCTGGATTCATTAAAAATCCTCCCTTCCCTCCTCCAACAATATATTCTGCACTACTATGTTGTACATAGTAATTGATGTTTTTTTGGAATCTGTATCACATGGTGTTCAATAAAAATAAATAAAATAAATAAATAAAAGAGTTTCCGCTCCTGCGCCGTGCATGCGTGACACGACGGAGATACAGTTCCATGCTTGAACGGACCAGTCACCATTGACTTTGCATTGAAAGTCACAGTAACACTCCTGCCTCCTGATAGAGAATATATCTGCAAAGAACAATTAAATGCCCCAAAAAAAAGATTATGCCAGAGGATAACATACTGTATATGAGAGAGAGTTGCATGAACAAGAGATAATGACATTGGAGATACTGCAAAAAGCAGAAGGCCTGACATGAAAAGACCCAAATTCAAGGCAGTGAAATCTTCTGTTTTTCTTGATGACACCTTTTCCCTCTTGTAACATTAAAGGAAGTACCCCTAGGCCCACTCGAGGAGACCTGTGAGTACTGTAGGAAATTCCCTGTATTGCTGATGGTTTTTCAATCCCTTGTATGAACAATTACAGCTTGATTCAGAAGCACGCTGCTGCTTTCTCAGGTCTTTTTAGTGGTCTGGTCTTGTGTGGTCTGGTGTGTTGTAGTGCGCTGGAAATGTGTTTCAGTTTGCGGTGGGATGTGAGTTGGTTTCTGCGGACAAAGATCAATTGTCTGTCATTTACCCAAACAGGACTCATGTCAGCGGGACACAGCTGCTTTCCCCTCACTCACAGCCCCCACTGCAAAATCAGGTCATATACTGTATAAGGTAGTGTCTGCTTGAATCTTAAAACCACACAAAGAGAACTTTAAAATGAAATCTCAACATTTCCTGGCTCTAGCTCTAGTTTTCACATGCCTGTATTTTGGCCTCGGCCACAACTTTATATCAGCTTTTTCAGACACAAATGTGAAAAAGAGAGGAGCACCCATAGCCAGCCAATCAGCTCTCAGCCCATGGCTCTGTCTCATAAGTATGCAAAAGATAAACATGTTTTCTAAAACGATAAAGACAGCATGGGACTAACTATTTGTATTAATTATCAAACAGAAATGTTAGATTCCCAAACTTTTATTTTTGTAAAAAACAGAACATTTAAAATGCACAAAAGGGTTGTTTTAGTTCCATCTATGTTGAAACTACCTTCTTTTTAAATAAGAAGAAGCTTGTTACATTGACAAATCGGCAGAAATCCTGGACTGAGCATTAGTGGCTGATCAGTGAATAGAGCAGGAGTCCCAAAAGTAGTTTGCGGCCCCCTAGTGGACATTGAGGTTTACTGTTTTTTTCCTGTTGCTTGAACACATTTGGCAAAATTACGCTCATTGTCCCAAAACTCACACATGTGTCAAAAAGAAACTCCTCAATCAAAACTCAAACTCTGATATCAAAACTCAATCTCTGCTCTCAACTAAATAAGCATTTGTCAAAATGAAACTCTGAGGACAAAATGATACACACTTGCATCATGTGAATACACTTTCAGATTGGAAGCAACACACTAGAGTACTTTATATAAAACACTGCAGTCATTTTCTCTGTTTTTATTCTGTTTATCAGTTTTCTGTGAAGCTCAATGGAACTGTTTTTGTTCTCAACAAAGGTATACCACCCCCAGAAGGTCTTCTAGGCATTCTGTATAAAGATGCAAACACAAATTGTTACAATAAGTTTAGTTCTATTTTACAGTACTGTACACTGTACAGAGTACTGTGACATCTCAATGGTACAGTACAATATACTTTACTGTAGGTTTCACACACTGACCAGGAGCAATAGCCAACTTACAATACAGCACACGTGATACAGTACAGTACTGTAAATAATGTAGATAAAGTCTGCAGTAGAGAGTTACAGTACATGTGATACAGTACAGTACTGTAAATACTGTAGATACAGTCTGCTGTAGAGTAGAAGACATGTAGAAGACATTCGAAATTTCCCCACTGTGGGACGAATAAAGGAATTCTTATCTTTCCATCTGAAGGCCCTGATGATGGAGCTGTGGCTGGAATCTCTGCTTCCCTCATTGTGAGGCCATGATTGATCACATGATCCACCGAAGTTGCCCTGATGTCATCAGAAATATCTCCAACCACCTCCTTCCTCTCTTCCTCTTCCTGCCTCCATACGTGCAAAGTTCTGAAGACTTCTGGCTAAACTGAAGCCTGTGTCTGGTTGATGTGAGTCCCATTTTGTAAGTATGTGTTTTCAAGTGTGTGTCTCAGTGTTTTCAATCACACAATGTGTTGGTGTCTTGTGTATGACATAGTGTATAGTAAGCAGGAGAAAGTGTGTTGCAGAAGGAGAAAGTGTATTGCAGAAATAGAAAGTGTGTTGCAGAAATGAAAGTAAAGTGCAAAGCAGTACTTTTGTTTAAGGAATGGTTAGACGGTGTTTTAGGTTTAGTACAAAAGCTTCAGGTTCTGTAACTTTGGTCTAAGCATGTGTCTATAGTGTTCAAGCAATAGGAAATAACTGTAATATCAATGCGGCCCCCACGGAGAGTCTGGGCTAATAAGACATGAATTATATCAAGTAAAGGACCAACTCTAAATGCACTAAGTTATAATTAAAAGTAAAAAAGTAAACATTATGCTGTCAATACAAATACTCTTTGCATTTGGTCCAGTTTGGTTTCAATCCAAGAAGCGGATTGCTAAAAAACCTTAGCTATTAACAAACCTTTCACAAAAGCTTGATCTAATGTTTTTCTTGTGTTGTTGTCGCTGTTCCTCAAATGCAAATATTTACTTTCTCGACTGTTATTATTACAGATGGAAACAATGGCGCAGTTAGAAATATGTGAGTATAGTCCAGCTTAAGCCGTTTTAATGGAACACTTTTATGTTATAAAACAATTAAACTATATATAGCCCTGCATTTAGGAGGAATAATATGGTTAGATCTTAAACATCCTCTTGAGATCATTTACCGCCTGCACATGAAACATCTCTTCCACAAAGTGTTGCAATCTGTTGAGCAATAAGGATGTAAAGCTGTCACGGACACAAAAAGAAAAACCTCAGAGGGACCCATATTGAGTGAACCAGGACTGAGACCATAGATCCAGGACTGAGGCTATAAATTCACGACTGAGACTGTAGGTCCAGGTCTGAGGCTCTAGATCCAGGACTGAGACTGTAGATTCAGGACTGAGACTGTAGATTCAGGACTGAGACTGTAGATTCAGGACTGAGGCTGAAGATCCAGGACTTAGGCTGAAGATCCCAGACTCAAGCTTAAGCAGTTTCTAGTTTTAAAATAAACACAGTTTCAATAAGTCATAAATCCAACATTCAAATATGATCATAATTACAAAAAGATTTTCATTTTTTATTTAAAGAAATGTACAAACTGACCACAATGAAAATGTCTTTTGACTCATTACAACAACAGACATCATCTTACCCTACTGTACAATAACACAGAGATTTCACTTTTAATAAGCAACAATAATAAATACTTCTGAAAAAAAGCCATGTAACAAAACAGAGTTTGGAGATAAACATTCCTAATAAAGTTCATTTTATGATGAGACGACAACATTTAAGGCAATGTGAAATCTTTGGTAGAAAAGGCAACAAAAAACATGCATGTAAAAATATGACCACAAATTTGTCAAATAAAAATAGCAACGGCATAAATAAACATACATCAGAACATTATCAAATGCAGAAATTACAATTAAATTACAAACGGAAGATGTAAGAAAACTTGTGCAATTTGCTGTTTGGTTTTGCACTATTTTTTCCTTTTATTTCTTCTGTCGTCTTTATGTTTTCATCAATGGTAGCTCTATGAGGTGTTTCATCCATGTTGTGGAAATTATACCAAGGAAGTAAGTCTGTTCTTAATTGTTTTCTGAGGCTGTGTTATCTGCTTCTTCACCAGGACCAGAGCTGTGACTGGAGATGGGAGCAGAGCTGGGACCTGAGATGGGACAAGACACTAGGAGCTTGGTTAAATGCTAGGATCAGATTCGGGACTAGAGCTAGAGGGACCAGAGGCTAGGGCCAAAGCTGGGACATGGGTCTTGTAGGAGGGGGAGGTTGTGTTCCCCTGGGGTCAGTCCGAATCATCCGTGCACTCACACACACACTCCTCATGATGCTCCAGCGCCACGTCAGTCATGGACTTCTGCAGCCCCCGGACACCACTGCGGTGCTTCAGCAAGAGGACCTGTGGGATGAGGAGGAGGGGAGCCATAGACAGATAATTAGTTTGTGTTTGAAAGTGCACAGTAAGAGAGTAAGATAGTATGACAATCAAAATTGTAGATTCACACTGAAAGCCTCAAAACTATGAATTAACTCATGTGGAATTATGTACGTACTTAAAAAAAAGTATAAAACTGCTGAAAATATGTCTTATATTCTGGGTTCCTCAAAGTAGCACCTTTTGCTCCATTTACTGCTTCGCACACTCTTGGCATTCTTTTGATGAGCTTCAAGAGGTAGTGACCTGAAATGGTCTTCCAACAGTCTTGAAGGAGTTCCCAGAGATGCTTAGCACTTGTTGGCCCTTTCGCCTTCACTCTGTGATCCAGCTCACCCCAAAACCATCTCGATAGGGTGACTGTGGAGGCCAGGTCATCAGGCCCAGCACCCCACCACTCTCCTTATGGGTCAAATAGCCCTTACACAGCCTGAGTGTGAATCTACAGTCAATAGTCATGAAAAGAAAGGGCACTCATTAAATGAGAAAGTGTGTCCATACTTTTGGTCTGTACTGTATATACAATATATATAGTGTATCGAGAGCTTTGCATTTGTGACAGAGTTTGGTTAGGGTTAGGGTAATAGGCTGATAGTTCCAATCAATTGTGTTTATAACCCAATATTTATTACGTGTATTAATGGTCTTTTTTAAGATCGCTTAAAGCATCTTGAGTTGTCTTAGACCTCCCATACATATGCCGTATACCTCGTGGTACTTGGTGGAGACCTTGGCAGGCACGCACTGGCACTCGTATCCTCTATGGGAGCAGCAGGCACAGTTCCCTCCACAGCGCTTCACCAGGAGGCAGCTGGGCCAGAAGATAACATCTGTCCTGCGCAGCTCCTCACGCAGAGGCACAGAGAAGTTCCTGGGAGTGCAGCTGTAGAGACGCACCTCCTCCCGCAGTAGGTTCAGGTCGGCTCCTTTGCAAAAGGAACACACAGGAAGACATGTCGAAGACATTGACTCATCTACAGTCCTGTATTTATCTACAGCCTCAGTCCTGGACTCATCTAGTGAACTCAGTACAAGAGTGAAGCATCAAAGAAGAAAATAAGGGAGATAATAATTGGAATTTTGGAATACAGTCGCGGGCTTGGCGGGCCGCCAGTTGATGATCAGTGGTCTGGGGAAATAAATGCTTTAGGACATTTTTCATAGGCTCGAATGAACATTGGTTAACCCATTTGTCTTCCTGGACCAATGACCACTTAATCTGTCTGATTTTCCTTGTCGGATTTTTTAACATGCAGTAGGAAACTTGACAATTCTGTGACACCCTTTGAAGGGAATACTGTTGTGATTTTGGGGAACAAAAAATAATGTAGTTGATTTGATTTGAAGCCAGAAGGATGAGTGTGACACAAGCTCGATCCATCAGTGTTTTTACATTTATCTGTGGTCTTCCCCTCCATTAAGAGAGTGCCCAGCCCCTGTGTGAAGGCAACTTATCTTGATAATATCCAAGATCTTGTCTGTTCCGTAATTACTCAAAGCTAAGGTGCCATCGTGGGAGATAAATTTTGCCTTTGAATACTTTCCTTTTTGCCTTCACATAGCGAGGGAATTACTTCTATCATATATTTTATGATCAAAACAGATTTAGTGGTAATCTCAAAGCTAATAAACTTGCCGCATTCTATATCACCTGGTCAAAGGGGTACACAGATGTCTGCAGGGTCTTACCTCGTGCCTTCTTGCTGTGGATAAAGGACTTGCCCAGCACATGCCAGCTGGGTCTGTACAGCTCATCCATGTCGCGCTGCCATCGCTCTGGCTCCAGGTACTTGAGAACCTCCTCCACGGTGCGTAGACCGGCCACAGCCTCGGTCAGTTCCTCCACTCCCTGCTGTGATGGAGGGACCGAGTCCGGCTTCGATGCACTCTGAGGACCACACAAACTAGATGTTGTATATTGAGGTAAATGCAAATGATTAAGATTAAGTTTCATTGTATTTTCCATTTGCATTAAAACCAAATTGGTTTACATTTGCAAAGGTACCCCAGTGTGAAACAAATTTGAAAATAAGCAAAAAAGTACAAGAATTGATTGTCACTGTGAAATCATTCAACAAAAACAGTTACATTACAAGTGCAAGATCATTACAGTGCTTTACAGTGATGTATATTTTTTAAAACCATTTATACATCACGGCTTTGGTCTGGAATTGTAATTGTGCTTTTTTTGTGAAACAGGACCGATTACAATGAAACAGAAACTTGACAATTAACAAGACCAGCATACCAGGCCCATTAATGACACACTATGGAGCTGCACATACTGTAGAAGTCACTCATACAATAGAACTCACTCATACAATAGAACTCACTCATACAGTAGAACTCACTCATACGGTATTCACATATATTCACGTATTACTGGTTATGGTACCTGAGTACATGAGATGGTGACGAATTAAGTGAGCATCCTAATGCCTAATTTTAAAAATCTATGTCAGATATAGTTGGTCTTTTTGCTTTTTAAATGCTGTTTTGAACCTTTATCTGTTATTTGTCTTATGAGCGGTTGGTGAGTCCCAGTACACAGAGATTGCAATCTCGAGAAGGTGAGAGGATTCTGTTGCACTGAGCTTGTCCTCCATCATCTCCTAATGATTGACAGAAACAAGCCCACTGTGTGATACGGACAAAGAGCTGTACTACACGCAGCCATCAAAAAATGCATTCACACATCTACCCTGCTGATGGGTTGAAATACAGGATAATCATTTCAAACAATTGTATTACGCAATATATTACAAGATTTCATAACAATTAAAAAACGATTTATTGAGGGATAAAAAGTATATACGTTAAAAATGTACAAGTAAATCTGTTACAAATTCATTGTTATTGGTTGGCAGAGACAAGTGAAACACGTCTGCGCGGCAAGGTCTGGTGTTCTTTTTTAAATTAAACTGCCGAGTGAAGACGTAACTCTTTTCTCCTCTGGTTATTCATTCTCAAAGCAACCTCTCCCAAAATCACGGAGCAGAGGGCGCAACACACACACATACACACACACACAGTACACGCACAAACAGTACACGCACACGCATGCACAAACACACTAATAAACACACTCCCACACACACTAGGTGCACACAATAGACTGTTGAGTGCGGTAGAGTGCAGTAAAGTGACAGTAGCAAAAAGTGACGGTCATAAGGGCAGAGGTCAGTGATGATTTATTAAGTGTTCAAGAGTCCAACAGCAGAGGGGAAGAAACTGTTCTTGTGGCGGGAGGTTTTGGTCCTGATGGACCGTAGTCTCCTGCCTGAGGGGAGTGGTTGGAATAGTCCATGTGCAGGGTTAGAGGGGCCAGCAGTGATACGACCAGCCCGCCCGCAAGCTCGGGCGACGTACAGCAATGGGAGGCTGCGGCCGATCACCTTCTCTGCAGAGCGCAAGATGCACTGTAGTCTCTGTTTGTCCCTGACTGTGGCTCACGGTGATGGAGGAGGTGAGGATGGACTCGATGATGGCCGTGTTGAACGGCACCAACATCTGTGCAGGCAGCTTGGCTTTCCTGAGCTGCCGCAGGAAGTACATCCTCTGTTGGGCCTTCTTGATGAGGGAGCTGATGGTCGGCTCCCACTTGAGAAAGAACACAGCCCTTTGAGGCTCATGTATTTATAATCCTAGAATCCGAGACATTCTTCCCCAGACGCACTCGCTGCTTCCTATCCGTCAGGAAGTCAGTGACCCACCTGAAAGTGGAATTGGGCACGTTGAGCTGGGAGAGCTTGTCCTGGAGCAGGGATGGCAGGATGGTGTTGAAGGCAGAGCTGAAGTCCACGAACAGGACCCTGGCGTAGGTCCCCGGGGAGTCCTGATGCTGTAAAATGGAGTGGAGGGCCAGGTTTTTGGCGTCGTCTACAGATCTAGTGGGTCTGTAGGTGAACTGCAGGGGGTCCAGGTGGGCGGAGGTGGAGGACTTGAGATGAGAGAGGACCAGGCGCTCGAAGGACTTGATGACTACAGATGTTAGTGCCACAGGTCTGTTGTCATTAAGTGCAGTCCGGGTTTTCTTTGGGACAGGGGCAATGATGGAGGATTTGAAGCAGGCCGGGACATGGCAAGACTCCAGAGAGGTGTTGAAAATGTCAGTGATGACAGGAGTTTGCTCACTGGCACAGTGTCTAAGGCCCTGTTTATACTGAGATGCTGCGCAGACGTTTCCAGGCTATTAACAGAAACGATCTGGCTCCTAATGCAAATTTCTCAGCGTTCACATGAGGTTGAAAAACGATGTAGTTCTAGCGCCCGGCCAGTAGTGGGCAGAGAAACTTAACAAGACTCACACGACCCCCAGCCCCGTGCTCAGCCCCCCTCTCGGCAGTATACTCACTTCCTGTGCCAGACCCTCAGAATGCACCAACATCATTCTGCATTTTAACAGCATCTGGGAAAATGGAAACTGAACCTAGAGCTTCGTGTGGTCTCATTTGGACGAACGAAGTAGTAGAATTATCCTCTGTCCCGCGCTGGAAGCCCACGTAGCTAGTTAGTGCGCGCGGCGCAATTGTTGTTTATATTTGTTCTCCGCTACTGCGCATGTCCAAATTTACGTGCGGGGAGCAGCGCGGAGGTGGGGTCAGAGCAGAGGGGGATTTCACACCTATTCCCCTCTCGCGGGTGTGAAAGAGCTCCCTGCTGTGCAGCGTTTCTGAGTTGTCCCACTTTGCAGGCTGGATCTGAACATTTACGTTTTCACCCCCCTGAAACACAGTCTTCGTATGAACGGTTAGTAGAAACCGACATCCAACTATACCGTTTTACTGCCACATTGTCTCTGTGTAAACTCAGCCTAAGAGTCGCAGGTGAGATATGGTCTGGACCTTGGGCTAGAAGAGTTGTTTGATGTGGGGGCAGAGCAGATGGGTGGGTTGTTAGAGCAGTGGGGGGTGGGGGAGGTGTCCGGGGTGGCGTCAAAGTGGCTGAAAAACAGGTTCAGCTCATTAGCTAGCTGTGTGTTCTCCTCTCTGGTCGGGCATGTGATAAACTGTCCGTATTTGGGTAATTCCTGGCTCAAGTTCCCTTTTTAAAAACCCCCAGGATAATAATCAGAGAGTCAAATACACGTCCGTACTTGGACAACTTGGAGAAAATGTGCTTTTGGGTATATATATGTGACGACAGTAATTCCCCCGAAGATGAAGAATGAGGCAAATGGGGATCGACTTTGTTCGAATCCGCGAGTCTGAAATCCGCAACGACACTCGCAAATGTTTTTTCCTTGAAACAGGACATAGTCAAAAGCTGATCTGTAAACCTGGTGTTATTCCCAACTTAAAATACGCTAACAGGAGCCTCGGTCTGTGAGGGCAATGCAACTAACTTGCTGTATTCTGGATTGAGGACTTAGAACTCTATGTGACAGATTGCCATTGTTGGAAAAAGTTTATTCTCAGGTCTGAAATGACTGTACCGAAAGCTGTACAGTTAGCTTTTGTTTATCTCAAACTTAGCAAGAAGCTAAGTCACCGTGCGGGCCGGAGGGAGGCGGGTTCACAGACCGAGGAGCATAAATCCAAGCATTCCACATGAGGTGATATCACCTCTATGCACAAAATAATTGTAATTTGACAAGTTTTGAGTGTTGTATGGTAATTTGACAAGTTTTGAGTGTTGTATGGTGTATCACCCAAATTATTATCAGGTATGTGCATAAGATGGACTATGAAAAATGAGGAAAAGCTAATATGGTACCTTTAATGTAAATACAGGCTACGTTCCTCTAACACATTCAAGACAGCATGTAGCAACTATGTCCATGTCACCCGAACGTGGGGAATCATGTCAAGCTCAACTAGTGAATAACTAGTGTCATGGTGTCCAATGAAAAAAATGTTCCTTGCAGCAACTTGTTTGAATGCCCTTCACAAGTATCATTGAATCTGGGTAAAGAAACAGGAAGAAATCACAATGGAGCGGTCTTATTTTGAGTACAAAGGGAAAGGCTAGTGTTCCACCTGCAGGAATGGGGTGATTAGCTCGTCTCTGCTCTTTGTGTGGAAGACGGCAGCTCTACCACAGCCATTCCCTGCAAGCCTAAATGACAGGCTCCAGAATAAAACAAGCCAGTGAGCGAGTGAGCAGCAAAACTATCATTTTGTTTTATTTTTGTCTTTTAATGTTGTTTTATGTCTGTACTTGTCCTGTGCACACTGGGAACTTTTACTAATGTATTCCAATGTAGTGTTACTGCAAATGGCAAATAAAATGAATCTGAATCTGAATCTTCAACATGTCACCACTTCCTGCGCAGAGTGCAGAGGAGAGCTGAGGTGGCATTGACAAAAACACAGGCGATGGTTGACTCCAGGGAGAAAGAGAATAACATGGTTCTAGTCTCTCATGTAAGTAAGTAATGTTTATTTATATAGCACATTGTACAGACCAAGGTCACCCAAAGCACGTTACAATGTTCAGAGTTCAGATATCGTTCCAATCATTCCACAAACGGTGATGACAGAAGCGAGTCGCCGAACACATTGGCGCATCAGCCCCCAATTAACACCACCCATTCACTCGCTCATTTACATTCTATTACTATTACTATTGTGCATGTTTTTAGTGGTAGGGCAAACCGGAGCACCTGGAGGAAACCTACGCATCCACCGTGCCGCCCAGGACAGGGACAAAGATGAGAGCCTAACATGGGAATATCAGCAGTTGGGGGGGAATATCTCAATGAAAACAATTATAATTCTAGTTAATTTCAGACAGTAAACTTACAAGTTTAAAATTAGGCCATGGTATCTTTTTGTTTCCGAAAAAATATTTGTTTTTTCCTACAGAAAGTCTTGGAAAAGTAAAAATTATGCTGCCTTCTTCTTAGAATTGCAAGAAGAAGCCATGTCATACCATGTGACTTTTTGCGCTGAACTGATTGGCTGAATTAAGGTGGTCCTAGCTATTGCACTTTTCTGTCTGAAAAAACGAATGTTCTAAAGATGCGGCACAGGCCAAAAATACAATGCGATTGAAAAATAATGATACTGAACTGTTTTTGAGCCAGGAACTTGTGACATGGATTTTATCACAGAGTTCCATTCCAGTGGTCTGAAAATTAAGTACCCCAGCTTAAAGAACTTCTAACTCCCGCTCCTCGAGGCTTACGTCACTCACATTTTCTTTTCAAATCTCCCTCCAAGTGGGCGTAGCCTTGAGGACTAAAGGGGACAGGCAGGGGAGGGGAATGTTGGGCGGGTCTAAGCTGTGATTGACACTTGACATCAGCATTGGCTGTGACAAAGATGGAGAGTGATCAGACGCCAGCTCTATAGCTTCTGTGTAGTCTTAGGAGGTGGAGGACTTCTCTCCACCGTCCTCACCGGAGGTTGAGAGAGAGGAGGCAGATGGCGGCCCTCAGCCCTATCAATTAGCTCGCAAGCTAGCGGCGCTAGTAGGGCTAGGGCTATAATTGATTCATGAGCTAGCACCGCTAGTTGGGCTAGCGCCGCCATTAGAGCTAGTGGCTCAGCTCGCGAGCTAGCGGGATATAATAATAACTGCAGAGGCAGAGGAGGCAGCAGACCACCACAGAATGGGGTTTGTTTCTGAATGATATAGATTAGAGAGGAATAAAAAGTATGAACTTCTTGTCACAGGTCTGCAAGCATGGAAACCCCGAAGGCATTTTGAATAGAAATGATACCCCAATGTGCACAAAAGAGACAGTTATTCAACACACGCTCAAACATAAAGTGGTATTTATTGTACATAAGTACAATAGAACACTAACAAGTAATACTAACATAAGTCCTGAGATAAATTCAGCTAACTAATCAAACAATAAAAGCAACTAAAGCCTAAAACTACAATATTCAACAACAACGCAATTATCACTACACAATTATCTATAATACAATCAGCTATGCTATTAAAAATCTACCTAAATGCTATAACTTATCGCAAACCTGACAATCGATGAAAATACTCTTTGCTATTCCTTCTCCAACTCGCTACGGGGGCGTGAACGAGACTGGGCCGTTTATATACCTCAGGGCGGCAGGGCAACTGACGTCAGCCTTCACTGCAGACGTCGGCCTTTGCGGCTGTGCCAATGTTTGCGCCAGATTCAAAATTCAAATGTAGTAAATACGCGTCGCCTGCAGATGGCGCCTAGACGGTTTTAGGCAGAAAGTTGATCTTTCAACTAATTTGCACCAAAGTGACAAAATCATGACCAGGATATGTAGATAACACTATTGGACACTCATTTATACTGTTTATCAGCAAAAAGTGGATTTGAGGGTGAGTTGTCCTTTAAAGCTGCACTAACTGACTTTGGGATTTTGAAGCCGCGGACTCGCTGGCCTCGCTCTTTCTGCTCCCCTCCCCGCACCCACGAAGCTATCGCCCCCCACACACACACACAGTGTTGAGACGGAGCTAGCCTCTCCCAATATGGATAATACATGGATATGGATTTTCACGTGGATGGCGTGACCATAGAACGATAGAACCGGGAAGCGCGGAGGAACGAAACTTTCTTTTGG